GTCCTGATACTAAAACTATAGAACTCGAAGAGGGTGTACTTTCTTTTTCACACGACTGTACATTGTGGTGCTTGTCTACTGTAACTTTAACATGCTGAACGTTCTCAGTTTAAGAAGAGCTGTCCCATTCATATTGATATGGAAGTAATTACTAAAATGCTGAGTTATATATGCAGCATATCTCATAAGACTGAGCAATATGAGACTCACAATTATTAGCAAGAAATAAATCAGAGTCAGCCTTGTAGGTGAGTGAACTGCTCATGACTTTTTTGGCCAAATTATTTTTTTTAGCTTTTCTTGCCTTGGACCTTTGTGGATTGTGTGAGATTAAAAAAATAACAAAGCATTGCCAAGAAACTAACTGAACCATATACTTTGATATGGCTATACCCCCAAACCACAACTGCAATCAATAAGCTAACCGTGGCTTCAGTCTGACTTACTGCCACAAAATAAACACAATTTATTCACTGTCTCTGTTCTCATACAGGTAGTCCTTTGGACCAGAATTTCCATCGCTAAGTGATATGATTGTAAAGCACGTGAAGTGACCACAGCACTTGGCGATGGCAATCCCTGCAGTCCCCACTGCCGTCGTTAAGCGAGGACCACAGGTCATTAACTAAGCAGCCCCTTGCACCTTCCTGCTGGCTTCCAACAACCAAAGTCCATGCAGAAGCTGACTTTGCAAGTCCTAGGCAGTTCGCAAGCAGGCAGGTAAATGGCTGCTGCCGGATGGGAGAGGGTGTGCGAGTGGTGGGGGAGGCGTGGCAAAAGCACAGTGAGGCTCAGAGCGCGAGTGGTGGGGGAGGCGCTGCATAAATACAGCATGCGGTGGCTGCTGCTGGGTGAGAGAAGGTGTGCGAGTGATCAGGGAGGTGCCGCACAAGTATAGAGGGGCTGGGGGAGGGTGCACGGGTAGGGGAGACTTACCTGAGCAACTTGCGACCTTCCTTCCTGGCTTCCCTGTTGCCTTTGCTTGTGGGAAGCCACCAGGGAAGGTCGCAAATTGTGATCATGTGACTGTGGGATGCTGCAACAGTTAAGTGTAAGCCAGTTGCCAAGCATTCAGATTATAATCAAGTGACCGCAGGGGTGCTGGGATGGCTGGAACTTCGAGGACCGGTCATAACCACCACTCATTCAGTCCCATTGTAACTTTGAATGGTCGTTGAACGAGTGGTTGTTAACCAAGGACTACCTGTACGGCATTAAGCAAACAAACCATATTATGGCTTAAGGATATGTATAAACCAAGCCATAGCCAAAGTGTACCATAAAGCAGTCCACTCCGCATGCGGCCCAGGCCTCGGCCCATCTCACGGTCCCTCTGTCTCATCGCCCGTTCTGCTGCTTCCCTTTGGCTGGCAGTTAGCTCTTCCAGATCTTCATCATCCAAGGCTAAACCTTCAGCTTCATAGACGTCAAGCTCAGGAATAGGCCGATAGTCCCTGGATGAAAACATCTCTGTTCATCAACCACATGGTGTGAGCATCCTGAATATCTTATTATTTTGCAGAGTGCCAGATCTGACATTTATATTTGGATATCACAACTTGCACAATGCCACATTTAGGAAACCCAGTGCATATACACCCAAAGTACAACTGCAGTGGTTCAGCCTACGCATATCAATTGCAAATTTCTTAACCTGGCACCAGAGAAGGAGCAGGCACTGTATCCTATGGTTCCCATAGGTCTAAATGCACCTAGCTCTATCCACACGTGCAAAAATGTGGATGCATATGATGAATGTAACACACAAACTGAACTGAGGACTCAGGACTTGATATGATGCTATGAAAGAGAACGTTTTGGGTATCTTGTGAAGATTTAAATTTTTCAGACATATAGTGCTGTCTGTATTAAAGAGCCAAAAATATTTTGGAATGTGATTTTCATGTGGAACCCACAAATCATAGAATAAAGTAGTGTCATATATGAGACTAGCAACCCCCCCCCCCGATATGGATAAATGGTAAGAAGTCCCATTGCATCTCACCCTTAATTAACCATTGTTTTTGTACGCTTGCTAGTTTTCATGGATGTGATTTTGACCATGATGCCCAGCCTGTCAGTGATTCAGCTTCAGAATTCCCGAGCCTTATTCCTAACCCACATTGGGAACGAACCCGAGTTAGTTCCACAAATGTCTGCTCCACTCTGAGATTTACCAAGCACTGACATACCTTGCAAGACAGGGAAATGAGATGTGAATTAAAGAGTAAGATGATAGTTTGGGCATTTTCCCATGAAATAGCAACTATAGGTCAACCCACCCAGGAAGGCTCTTTTTGAGTTCTAGTCATATAGCTGAGGCTATACCATGACCAATGGTTCATTCAGCTGTAAGAATAATGGGAATACAAATAGTTGTATTTGGAGTTACTGTTTGGATTGCGTGTGGGGGAAAAAGGTAAAAGCAGATAAAACAATTCAGAATCCATTAAGAATGTACTGCTGTAATAACCATGAACACACAGTAGAGAGAAAAACATTGGTCTGAATGGGAATCTTCATTGGCATGGGGACTGTTCATGGCCATAATATTGCCTGCAACACATAAAGCAAATAGGGCACTGACCAGGAAAGGTTTAATTGGACATAAATTGTTATGTGCAATATTGGAATTGTGTTTGACAACTGGGTATTGAGGGCGTGACTGCTAGATTGTGGTTGCAGGTGTGGAAGCCAAGGGTAAGCTGAACCAGAGAGAATCCATATTTGAAGAGAACTTTTGTGCAGGCTTGCTCAGCAAATAACCTTTTCCAGTGACTTTGATGGATAATCAGTTTAATGAAATACACACAGTCCATCTGGAAGCATGGGTGCATGGATAAAAGGCAGGAAGTGCAATATCATGTTAGGACGAACAAAAATGATACCGTACAACAGGTTCTAGTATAACGAGGGAATCAAATTGTGATTGATGGATGGAAGTGCCAAGAGTCAGAGCATGAACGCCCATGATCAAGAACTGCCCAAGAACAGCTGGCTTCCTCCCCAAACCTCCTCCTGAATGGTTATAATATTCCATTACAAGATTGATGGAATGCTGTCAGTCAGAGGCAAACCTTTTTAATTACGAAGTAGAAAAAGAGGATCTCTCTCTCTCAGTGCACTTAGCATGGGTGAGATTTATTTTTAGTTGTTCCATTCTATAGCTTGTTATCTTTTTGTTATTACTTCTCATTCCATTTTTCATATTGGAAAATCTTTCTGGAATCAAACAGCTACAAGCTAACTTTTAGTAACTATTAGATTATTAATTTAGGTAGCTTCTCTGGTTACATTATTTATTTATTAAATCAATTTATATGGCTGCCCATCTTGTGAATGCAACTCTGGGTGGCTAACAGCACATTAAAACAATAAAAAGCAATATTAGCAGAATAACGTTGGAAAAATGTTAATCAGTGAGCTGTGCTTCTAATTAGTTGTGCTGGAACTAAAAATATATCAGAAGGGACAACTGCACTGAAACTGAATCAATAAACCTTGCAATCATTGTACAGTACACTGTTGCCTTCTGTGGATATTGAACTCACTGGGGACAAAAAATTTTGGGAGGAAAAATATTAAGTTCCATACATATCTGCAGCATTGCCATTTTTCAACATTCTCAGAATGTTTATGACTTTTCATAATTTTTTCTCAATCACTAGCATTTGCAGCACTGATTTAATCGGCACCATAGTATAACATTATTGTTCCCACACAAATCTCTGAAATACCTCTTCCAGCACTCCCCCATTCCAATTTCATCCCAAATAATTTCATCACTTTTATTTTCCATTCCATTTACTCTGTGAGAGGCTCCTTGTTTATCTCTCTTCATCCCTTTCCAAAATATTTTATTTCCATCAAATTTTCCATACATTTTTTCTTCCTCTTTAATCTTAGCTACTTCTTCCTCTCTTTGACTAAACGGTTTGCGTTTATCCTTTTCTCTCCCTATATGGTATACAAAAGGTTAGTTTCATCATTTTTGCAGCAATCATTCCCCTATATACATTTGTTCTCATCTACAGCCTTTCACTTTATCATCCCATTAAGCACTTTTTAAATATATCCCATTACCATAACTCCACACACTTCTGTGGAAACTATGCATTTAGAGCAATGTGCAAATCCATCCCTTATGAGCCTGTATCTTCTCTCTCAGTTTGTAAGGTTTGCAATAAACAGCATATGTGATACCAAATTATCATGCTTGGCTTCAAGTTCTGTTACTAGATGTTTGAACTGATGGCTGTGTAATGCTTGGCTTTTAATCTATTTAACAATTTTGATCGAGGTAGATATTATCCCTAGGGATGGTGCATTCAGATACTCATGATGCAAGGTTTAGAGGCCTATAAGCATATGGCACAGTGCCAGATGCTTTGATTTCTTTCTTAATTGGAACAATTCCTTTATAAATTCTAAAACAGGTGCAAACAATTTATAACACATCAGAAGTTGGGGTAACCTTGATCATAACAGGTATCTTCTCCCAAAATAATGAGGAGCCCTGCCAACTTTCTGACTGATTAGCAGGATGGTAAGAAACAAATCATGGTTACCTGCTGCTACTAATGGCAGGAAGCCAAGCAATGTAATTCTCATCAACCAGTTGACTACACAATTAGCTGTCAAGAGCACCCAAACTGCTGGTTTCCTACTGCTAACAGGAGCAAGGAATGAGAGAGAAAGGATTAAGGTGTATGACAATGTATGTGGGAATATGCTGTATATGAAATAGTGCATGTAAACATGCACGCAAATGGGTTATGTACATATGTGCAATCTCTAATTCCCAACCTGGTCTTCAAGGCCAAAAAATCTGCCTACCTGTGAAATAAGGTATGAACACATAGTAAGTGGTATGTTATAATACTAAGGAGGTAAGTCAAGGGTACTGAACAGGCTAGGTCTGACTGGTGTTGAACTCAGAAACATCTGGAGGGCACCTGGCTGTTTAAAACTGATATAAAGGATTACTGAGAGGAAAGCATAGATGAAATACAAATAAAATACAATTTTGTAAAGGAATGGCAGACTCAGAAGATAAATCCAGCAAGGAAGGCAATGGGCATTTCAAGAGGGAGATGGGAGGATGCACACTTGCAAAGAAAGAGACAACCCTTTCCTTGTATGGTGACATTCATCTGATTATGAACAAAGATGTTTCATTTTGAGGCTTCATAGCAGAGGAAGATTCCTACCTTTCCATCCCTTCTCCAATCAACTCCTCTCCATCTTCTTCCTCTTCATCGGGGAGTCCCTGGGTCCCCAGGAGTCCTTCAGACTCGTCCTCAAAGGGTGGCAGATCTCTTCCTGGACTGGAAGTGAAGGCCTCTCCTCGCCGAGAGCTGTGCACGGGGCTGGTAGCCATGTTTGACTCGGAGGAATCCTAAGACAATATACCGAGTGGAAATGATATTGTGAATTTGGCTAATATCCCTTTACTAGGACTTAGTTTTGTTGGAATTTTCAAAGCTTCTGGACATGCAAAAGGAATGCAAAAAGAGACAGACTAACACAAGTGCCTGTTGATTACTCCCAACAAGCACTGTGTTAGTCTGTCTCTTTTAAGTCCCAGAGAGGTCACTGGGGTTTAATTCCAGAACAGGGGGTGTCTGAGAATATTTCTTTGTACTCCACCTTCTAAACTCTTCCTGCACTTTGAAATGGACGGCACAGACCTCGGGCCTGGGTCTGGGCAGGAATTTGTACTAGTTACAGAATTAGTTAGAGAAAACAGCTCATAACTTCACTCCTCCTGCAAACTCCGCCAGGCAACAGGTCTGGAAAAGGTTCTAGATACAGATTCTAGAATCGATCAAACCACGAAATGAATTATTTATATTAAGAGTTAACAAGATGACGCCAAACAATTCAAAAAAGCGGCCCAACAAGGGGACCCAAATACAAACGACCAGAACTACTGACAAGAAAACCACCTCTATATCAACTGCGAGAAGCTCTCTTACCGCCATTTCTGCCGCTTTCCGATTCAACGGAGTTTCTTCCACGAACAGCCCCCAACCTACAACGCAGCCGGAGCCTGAATTCCGCGCGGATTACGAATCACGTGGCCAAAAGCCCGCGAAAGCTCATGAATAATGACGCGACGTCTCATGAATATGCAAATATTGCCCCGAGAGACTAGTGGAGAGCGCTTCTATGAATATTTATGAACGGACGGGGTGGTCCTTCGCTGGAGAGGGAGGGCGGCGTGGAGGTAATCCGCCCAGTAGGTGAAAAAGCTGAATAAATGCCGCTCGACGGTGCTCAAAACTTTGCTACGGCATTCCTAGTTGATGAGGACTTGAAGTCCAGCACTCTGGAGAGCACCACGTGGCGTTCGTGGTCTCCCATCGGCTGAGAACGTTTAGTATTTTGCTGCCTTCCATTCTGGAACTGATGCTTGCAAAGTGGTTCCGTTGTCACTGCATTTTGCTGAAATAATAGGTGCACGCCCTCGAATGTCCTAAGCGGTTAAATAAATAATGATAGATCGGCCTGGCAGTCCTTTTTTTGTCTTCGTTAATAAAGGATTTGTCCTCCATAAAGTAAGGAGACGCTTCGTAAATGCAAAGCGATGCAGCCCGAGGCAGGTACGCTTTTAGAAAAATCTCGAATTCAGTAGTAATCCGGAATACAAATACACATTTCGAATCAAACTTTTTTCCTTTGATTCCGCCACTAAATGAGGGGTGCGGGTGGGTTGCCAAAGGAATGGGCGCGAGGAGTGCGTAACTTTCCCGGGCGTGCAGCGAGAGTTTTTCCTCCGAAATGGTTGCGCGCAACTTCCCCTTTAACGCCCTGCCGTTTTCGGCCCTCCACTCCGCCCCTCCCCTGTCTTCATTGGTTCCTCTCGCCCTTTTGTTTCGCTTTTGAGCCGGGCTTCTTATTTAGGCGCCTCGTGATTGGCTGAGCACCCTGGGATCCGGGGATCGACGCTCAGGTCTGCCGCGGCGGGCGAGGCTGTTCTTCCTCCGCGCGCCGCTCGTCGTCCTCGTCGAGCCGATGGCGCTGCGCCTTCTTTTCACTGCGGGCGCCTCCGCTCTGAGCCACGGCAGGAAGTGATGGGCCGCCTGGCCGCGGGCTTGCTGGTTTAGCTCCGGCCGGCTTGTCAGCGACGCTCCCCCACCGGGCAGCCTCCGCCCCCTTCGGGACCTGGGACGGAGCCTTGGTGGCTGCGGGATGGTCGGTCTGGAGCCCCGGGCATGAGCCAGCGCGAACGAAAGCGGGACAGGCCTCCTCCTCCTCCTCCTCCCCCCTCGGGCTGTGAGCGAAGATAACAAGGGAGCTGCGGAGGGCGAGCGTAGCTTACGGGCGGAGCAGACGAGAAGGCGGCAAGGTAAGGAGCCCCCTGACGCCTTAGGTGGCATTAGTCTGGATGCCCCCTCGCCCGGGCATGGTGACGGGCCAGATTCGCTGGGGGAAACTTTGGCATGGGAAAGGAGAGAGCCCTCGTCCAACCCCGCCTCTTTAGCAAGCAGCCCCCCGGCTTTGGAGAGGGAATTTGTAAATCCGCCTCATCCCCCCCACCCCCCGGGCACCTCTTGGCTGATCTTGGGTCTGGTGATCCTGGTCTGCTTACTGAGAGTGGCCCCCTGCGTTTGTGCAAGAAGGGACGGAATCGCTCGGCACGTTGAAGGTTCCTTCTGGGTGAATGCTGCGTTTCCCCTCTTTTCCCTGTCCCCTTTTGATCTATTCTGGGGCTTTTAGTAATGTCCCACTTGGACCGTTTCCTTTCCTGGAGGTCTTCGGCAAGTGCGCGCGCGCGCGCCTCTCTTGTCATGAAACTCTCCTTCCTGAAATAGCCTCGTGGCACGAAATGTTTGGTGTCAACACCCAGCCCGAGGCCCTTTTACTATCAGAATGATTCTCAGCCCGCTTCCCTCCACAAGATCCGAATGCTCTTTTGGTCCCTGGCGATTTTTAGACAGACTCCCACAATCATTCTGTGGGCATAGTTGTCCAGCACATGTGGAATTCTCCAGTTTGACCAATTGTTGGTGATTAAAAATATCGGCTGCCTCTGTCCACTAGACCATGCTGTGGCATTTTGTGTGTATCCCCTTCTGTAGTTGGGTAACTTCTAGCAACCTCCCATTTATGTTTACCATTCATTTGCTACTGAATGGGTGTTTTAGATGTTAGACAAACTGTTTTTCAACAGAGTTAATGTTTCAAAAAGCCTTTAGTAGTCTGCATGAGCAGGGGATGTTTCTGATCATGTACAGTTACAAATTGTGATAAGATAGTTAAAATATAGTTGAAATCCACACTTTAAACTTTGTTATAATTAGCTTGGTATGCCAGATTCAAAATCCTATCCTCTGAAATTGTAGGTGAGGTGGTTGGGAAAAATAGTACATATTACTATAGTATAAAAATGTGCTTGAAAGAAAAAGTTCTCATCTATTATGTAATAAACTATATGGTGAAAAAAAGAAAGCACTATACTAAACTGGGGGGGGGGGAAATTCCACGGAAAACAAAGGTAAAAACAAACAAACAAATAATAACCAAACAAAACTATCCCCCAAATTATATCTAAATATAAATATGAAAGAAAATCAAACCATTAGAATGAAAAAAGTTACCTGACTGTTGAAATGATACCACTTTTTCAATTTCATCATTGTGATTCAATTTTTAAACAGTGATTTATGTCTAGACCATACAGAATCACATTGTCCAGTCTTTCCTCACCTCTGATGCAAAGTTGATTCAAAGGGTGCACGGTGATGAATTTCGTTATGGTATGTTCTTCAGATATGCAACACAGTATTGTGCACTTTAAATTTGTATAAAGGCTTTATATGTTTTGTTTCATTTTTAAATTCCTTCCCTAGTAATCCCCAACTGGAATTTATCTCTTTCATGGTTAGCTGTGTGCCTGACTTCTTTCATCAAGCTATCCGCTGTTACCTCACTGCCCATTTTCCTGGTCAGTCTTCTTCCAGCTCAAAACAGTATTCTTTCATTATTAATGAATCATCTGATGGCATGAGATTAACTTAAAGAGTTCAGGTCCAGGTTGAGTGGCAACCTAGCTTTTCCTCTTGTTTGCAGTGTCTACTGTCCACTCTATCTCTCTAGCTAATGGTTAGACTGCTTCGAAATTGATGGGTAAAAACTCAAATACTAATCCTATAGTATGACAGGAAGTGTGATCATTGTGACACTTACCTTAAATATTAGGAGACTTGCTGGCACAATTTACAGTATGATTAAGTTGTTTACAATGCAGGTATTGCACTGAAATCAAGCTGTGTTATTAAGACAGATCCTCTCAGAAGGCTATCACCCAAGAGCTTGGCACATGCATGCAGAGGAAAAACAAACGCTGAGGGGGATGAACTGAGATACTGGAATCATAGAGTTGGAAAGGCCAGATAGGCCATTGAATCTAATTTCCTGCTCAGTGCAGAAATCCAAAGTAAAGCATCCAGACAGATGCTGTCCACCCTCTGCATGCACACATCCAATGAAGAGAAGATCACTATTCTGAGTAATTGGTTCCACTGTCAAACTGCTGTTACTGCATGGAAGTAAAATTAATGAGATTCCTAATGCATTGCAAACCTATCAAAAATACAAATTGTGGATGCCACATTTTAATTTATTTTGCATTGTAATATGGTTGCAGTGTGGGAAATGCCCTATTCTATTTAGGATATTTTTTTAAAAAACTAGCATTTGTGCTGGTTTGATTTTATGCAGTGTTTCTCAATCTTGGCAACTTTAAGATGTATGGACTTCAATTCCCAGAGTTCTCCAGCGAGCGTGCTGGGAGTTGAAGTCTATACATCTTAAAGTTGCCAAGGTTGAGAAACACTGAATTTATGGACAGCCAGTAAAATATGCCCACTCATATAGATTGAAATGCATCTACAGTACTTCAAAATTCCTACTGTTGCTTAAACTAGAGGATTAAATGATAATCTTGGGCACCTTAGTACATTTCTCCCTAAAACAGCAAGTCAAAGCTTTCAGAAATCTTTATGGTTGCACTTCTAAATATTCTTGCTATGGGCCACAGTGAGACTTGTTTTCAGTAAATTGTGCAATTGCAGTTAAGGGTTGTCCTTGCAATTAAGCAAGGGTAAAAAAATCAGATTAGTTAAGCTTCACTCCTATTATTATTATTATTATTATTCCTCCTCCTCCTATTTAAAGTCTAGCCTTTCAGCAGCTAAAGGTGTCCTGCAGTTTGCTGTATCTCCTATATGTGTGCTTAGCAGACAAATGTTATCTGGGCTACTGGGTGATAAGAATCAGCTTAATTAATATCTTCAAATATAGAGCTTCAGATAAAAATACTGCTTATCCATTGGTGCTACTTCTCCCATTGCACTGACCGTAACATCTTGTTGGAAATTTAAAGTTTGCTGACGTGAATTGAACTGAACAGGTGCTTGTTTTGAGATTGAAAAAGCTAAGTCACATGGAGATGCCCTTGGATAAAATGAGGAAGTTCATTTGAGTGAGTGAGATATGAATGTTTTAGTCAGATAAAGGGCCTCTCATTCTTTTTCAGTATATTAGCATGACTGTTTATTTCAAGAATTTACATCAGTATTGCCTCTTAAATGAAGGTTGGGGTTTGCAGAGGAAAGTGTTTTTCTTTACTTACCAAGAAAACTTGACTCTTTTAATTGTAATTCCAGTCACAGAAATACAGAGAATGAAATGTTTCCCCAAGTCTTAAGAGGAGTAATGTATTTGAGACATATTTTGCTTGTTATGTACCAGTTTCATTGCTGGCTTATCATTTGTGTGCCAAGTTTAAAGTGTTGCCCTTAAATATTTCTGGACCATCACACAGTTTTTATTTATTTATATTTATTTCTTTATCAGAGAGCCAGTTTGGTGTAGTGGTTAAAGCAACAAGCTAGAAACTGGGAGATTAGTCCTGCCTTAGGCATAAAGCCAGCTGGGTGACCTTGGGCTGGTCACTTTTTCTCAGTCCTAGGAAGCAGGAAAGGGCAAACCACTTCCGAAAAACCTTGCCAAGAAAACTGCAGGGACTTGTCCAGATAGTCATCAGGAGTCAAGGCTGACTCAAAGGCACCCCCCCCCTATTCTTTATCAACTTGTGTGCTGCTTCAATCACGAAGACTTTCCCTAGTCTTAAAATGTGTGCCTCAACCCACTATTGAGAATTATTGGATTCTGAAATACCAGCAAATCGGGTCCTTTCTGTTACTGTTCATCTTTTGTATTTCCCTGGGAAAAGTCTTCCAGCCCTTCCCCTGTGAGCCAATTGCCCCTGTTTTCTGGGTTACATATAAACCTCAAATGAGAACTAGGTTGTAGTTCAGTGGGCCATGCAAACACGTGTAAGACTTTTAAGGGAGCCCTAATAATGTTGCTGTTCCAAAAGGCAATTTTATGGTCCAGTGTTTTAATGACTGTGTTCATCTGATCCTTTTTATATTGTTTTTTGTTTTAATAATGTGTAATAGTAAGTTTGTAATTGCCATGAGAGAGTAGGTACCCTAAAATGTGGGCTTAATCAAATATGATCCAGATGGTAACATCAAATCTGAGACTGGAACTTGATTGTTGTACTAGTGCTTTGATACACAACAAGCTGAATATTGTTGACAAACAGCAACAAAATGGGAAGAGTTCTTCTTCTTAACAAGCAAAATACTGAATATTGTTTTAAGTCTATCTGAGAGCTGGAACAATGGTTTATACATTTTCCAGCTGAAGAATGTGCCTTCTTGGAAACTAAGGATTGCTATATTTATCAACATGATAGAAGTGGGTGGATCACTGGTGATTTGAGCTAGTGCTTCAGTTAATCAGGACAAAGTACAAAGGAGACATTGAAAATACTACTGAAGGATAAACTGAAGAAAATGCAGGCAACTGTGCTGATCTCTTAGGAAAATATTCATACAGGATCAGTAATAAAATAGCCTTTATTAGGCTTAACTAAATATCCCTTATGTAAATTAGTTTTTGAGATTCTTAAAAACATTTAGGCGTGATTAATTAATTTTTATTTATGTTGCAGCGCTTCAAGGGAAAGATAGAGAAGAAAGTTGTTTGGAGATGCCCAGTCCACAAAAGTCAGTAATTCAAGAAGTACTTTGTGATCATAATGGTGTTTTTCTAGAAGCACTGACCTAATTTTTAAAGGTAGAAACTAAGTGTAATTCTGATGTGTATGTGTTTATTTTAGGGATTGATATACTTTCAGCAAGTGTATAGGTGTCTTACAAATAACTGAAATGTAAAAATACTAAATTTCTGACGCTGATCACAACTTACAGATCCTTTGTATATAACGACATTGTCCATTTAGATGTGAACACTGTATGCTTATTGAAAGTGATTCTGCTGCTTCTGTATGTAGACTTTAGCAGTTGCTCTTCATTTAAAAAAAATGGGAACAGGGAAGGACCTTAGACCTGTAGTGTGGTCAAAAGTCACTAATCATTGTAAAGTTGTTTGTGAAGTTGTTTGACAAGTGTGATTATGGCCTTGTCTCAGTTGTGAATGCAGGGCGAAGTTTCTTTGTTTAAAACAGCCAAGGGTAAGAGGAATGCCACTGCTAGGCACAGCTTTTATGTCTTTCTACAGCCAGAGTCTGGCATGCAACTATGGCTACTTGTGTTAATAAAGCACAGTTCCAGGAATACAGGTTAAAGCAGCTGAGTTCACAAGACATAATAAAACAAACTATACATGACTTTATGTCTCCAGGGCCTCTCTTTGCCTTATCCATTCCAGAATTGTTATAAGGTATATCTTACATTAATCATAGTCTCCCAGTTCAGATGAAAAAAGCTGCTAACCACGGCTACTAGCTTGGAGTTCTTGGTTTGTTTTGATGCTGAGTGATAAGTATGGTTTTCTGATTCAGCTATAATTTAAAACTTCCATGATTCTCATGGGATACTGAGGAAAGAAGGCTCATTCTGTTTAATAATCTAGGAAGATATGTAATATGTATGCCCAAACTGGCTATTGGCTAAATATTGTCTGCATCAGCCTTCCAGGTCATAGTCTAACACAGTGAACCTGATACTAATATTCTGTGTGATGAATATTTTGTCTTTGTAACAGAAACATTAGAATGTTTTTGTGATAGAAACATTATTTATTATATTGCTATGAATTTCTGTATCTGTTGAAAACTGCAGTTTATTACCTACAAACATTGGTCCTTACTTTTGTGGACTATTCTATTCCCTCTTATTTTATTTTAGTAGGAATAAAGCTTTATCTTCATCTCCTCAAAGTGGCTTGCTAATCAAGCACAAATACTGCTTCTGTCATGCACTTTTCTCACATCTAGATTGCAACATGAAAAGCCAGAAAGCACTCTGGATATGGTCTGTAGGCTGCTGGTTGCTAAAGACTTAGATTTTTCTTTATCGTTGACTGCCTTTCACCTGTTTTGCCACAACGTTAAGCCATGACAAACCTTGATTATAGAAGCTTGCAGATGGAGGCTGGGTTCACATATTGTGCTAAGTCATATAATGTGATTTCTTTGGTTTTCACTTCATGTATTGTGTGAACTCAGTCACTGTGGTTTGTAAACTATGGTCTATAACTTAGCGTGTCAGTGATTCCCACTGCTTGAAGTTTATTCAGTAATTCAAAAGATATGAACCAGCCCTGAGTCTCTTCTTTATTTGACAGAGGCGATGAGTGCACCATTAGGAGACAAAATAACAGGTTAGGAATAGATCGTCTTGGAGAAAATCTATCTATGTGATCACTAGGAGTCGAAAACAACTTGATGGCACATAACCTTTTATTTGAAGACTCCTTTGCTTTATGCACTTTGGGATTTTCTCAGAAGAAAATTAAGGCATTTTGAATGGGCTTTCTTTCTTAAATTTCCTAAAGTAGGATACTTCATAAATCCTGACCCAATATTTTACAGAAGTCATTTATAATCTAAGCTTCTGGAAAAAGCATGTATATACAACAATTGCTGCTTATTAGGATCATTCCAGGGATCATGGTTCCAAAAAATGGCAAAAATTGAGGTACCTATATGTCAAGCTGCTGCATGCATGTGCAACTCCCAGAGAAATGTAGAACATATTTTGTTTGGAGTTGAGTGATGATGATTTCATTTAGGAAAAGGTGGGGAATTATTTATTTCAAGCAAGACTGGCTCACCTGATGGTGCTGAAGAACATCTGCCGGTATTTGTGAGCTTGCCTTCACTGGGACAGCTATCTGTCATAGATGCTTTAATTCGTATTTTTGCATAGAGCAAAGGGAGTCGATAGCCTAAGTGACATCTTCCAACTCTATGATTCTGTGACTTAAGGGCATTTCTGACATTGTAATAACAATAAATTATAGCAATCAATTCCAAAGGCTTAAAAAATATCCATGAAGGCTGCAAGTCTGCTCTCTTCCACGAGGAACTATTACATTCTACTTCCCTATAGCTGGAGGAGGTGAGAAAGCAGTTAAAGCTGCTAAAGCAATTCATTAAAAATAAATTGAAATTGAAATGAGCATTTAGAGGAATAGAGTGTAGTTAGTAACAAATGGGTTCCTATTTCCTGAATTCTAGGAATCCAAGGTGAGTTACTTTGGTAATATAGAAACTAAATAGCTCTGATTTATTTATTTCATTGATGTAACATTGAATCTTGTCACTCATGCAGTGTACGGCAGCAAAAAATTAAAAAGTAATAACACAATTATGACATAACGAGAAATTCAAACAAATTACAGTAACTATTACAAGCAACCAGTGACACCATCTGGGTATTCAGAAACATCATCTTTCAAAGGTCCAACCTCTATTTTGACAGCTTTTCGAAAAGATGCCAGAATTGGTACCAATCTGAGTTCTGGAAGGAGGCTGTCCATCAAATGGTGGTCATTACAGAGCAGAACCATCTGGAGGCCCCCACTGATCCTAACTCTTGCATATGGGGATGCCCAGCTGTGGCGAGCATACTATCTGGGTCAGTTCTACCTGGAGGACTTGGTCCTACCTGGAAGAACAGTCCTGGAAGTACTTAGGAGCCAAGCCATGCAGAGCTTTCAAGATTAAAACCACTATTTTGAATTATACCCAGAAGCTTGTTGGAAGCCAATATAACATAAGGTTCACATGGCTGTAACAGATCCCATGTGCCACCACACTAACAGGTTCATTCTGTACCACTTGCAGCTTCTGTAGTCTGATGTATACCAAATTACAGTAGTCTATCCTGGTGGTGATGAGGGCACGAGCTTCCCATTGCAGTAATCACCTGGTCTTGCGCTCACAGCTTTCCCTAGTCTTTTGCCTGCCAAATGTGTGAGACTAACTCACAATCTACCAGCACAGTTAAAACATATACAAAGTAAATAATCGAGAAAGGTTGATAAATGTTTGGATTCACGCAGCATAAATTTCTGTGTATTTTTAAAAACAAATTCCTCATGTCGGATTGAGATTTATCTGGTGAAAATGTCTTTTTGCTCCCTCTCTTTTTCTTTCCAGAACGGTGACAGAATGTCAGCACTGGTGACATTGGTGCAATTATCTGCAGATGATAATGCCACTTACCCATCTGCTACCACAGTAGTGACAACAGCTGACACCCTGACGACACCTCCGTTTTTAAATGCTACCAACAGTACTGTGCCACACAAATGCTTGGTGCTGCTGTATGAGGACATTGGCACATCCAGGTGAGATGCTATTATAGACGGGTCTGTTTCTCCTTCTAAACAAGGTTTTCTGTATTGTCAGAGAGGGCACAGCACTATTTAAAAAAGCATCTTTATGTCTTGTTTTTAGAGTTCGTTACTGGGACCTTCTATTATTGGTTCCCAATGTACTTTTCTTTGCATTTCTCCTCTGGAAGCTGCCTTCTGCCAGGGCCAAAATCCATGCAACTTCCAGTCCCATTTTCACCACTTTCTACATACTGGTAAGTACAACTTTTATTTTTAAAGAGCCTGGATATGGTAATATATTATTTTGGCTCCTTTCAGATTAGTGGAAGGGCTCAGAGTTGGTAGTTATGCTTGACAACTCTCAGCGCTAACAATCTCTCCACCCAAGGTATATTTTTTATTTTGGATTGAGACATCCTTCTGACCTAATCTGACCATTGAGTTGCTTGATCTTTCTTGTGCTGCTTCTGTGTCTTTTGTGTCTCTGGAAAATCTGACCTGTTAGAGAATAGCAGCTAATCTCCAAAAGGATAGACAGCATTATTGCTGCTCCTTAATTTGTTAACTTGATTTGACATGGGCAGTCACATTTCTGCAACTGAAATTATTGACACATTATTTGACTTATACTCTGTCCAGTGCCTGACAACTGTTAGCCCATTGTTCAGGAAGACAGAGGAGAACAGCCCCTTTCTCTCTTTGGCTTACTTTCTCCTTGCAAAATTGTTTTCCCTTGAAATAACTCCAGGTATTAATTAAGATATTTTAAAAAATATAAATAAGTGTGACTTCTTTATTTTTCTCTTCTGTCTCCAAATTTCCCTCCCTCTGTCCTTCAGCTGATCAGCCTATTAGATGCAGACAATCTGTGGCGATCCCAGCCAGTGTGGCTGGTGGGGACTTGTGGATCAGGACCATCTGGAATGCCTCAGGTTGCCTGTCTCTGACCTAGACTGAGCTGCGTGTCACAAATCCTGACTATCAATGTAATGGTGGCCAACCACTAACTGAATCAGTTGAAGATTCTAAGAGGGAAACTATAAGTGCATCTTTTCCAATGTCCCTTTATTTGTACAATTCCAGTATTGCCACATTTTTAAAGCTGTTTCTTATTAACAGTTGCAAGGAGATTAGAGAGGAATTTAAATGAGAAGAAAAACATTTCCTTATACTTGCCTTAAAGCTTCTAATTATCCTTCTTGGTGGAAACTCATATAACTTCCACTGATTCTACTTTTTGTGTGATGTACAGTATATGTTTGTGAATCTCTGTATGCGTGTGGTGGGAGGGAACAGCAGCTACAGCATCTTTAAATCTTCAGTTATTTTAGCATTCCTGCATACCCTCTCTTCCCATTTCCCTTTGTTTTGCAGTTTCTTTTTAACTTTTGCATGAGCGTAAGAATTTCTTCTTCAGAGAACAAGAAAGAAAGGGATTTACTTGTCTCTTGTAGAAAGAGTATTAACTTTAAGGTAAATTAATTGTATTAACCTTAGGCACAATAGGAATCAGGCATGATTCTGCCAGGAGATGGTAGAACCATCTATAGGGGCAACAGCCATAGAAGCTTGGTATTAACAAGAGGGAGGCTATGCTGCTCAGGTGAGCCATGCTTTCCCTACCTGCATGGCTTTTGTCATGCCTGCTGGTACGGATGTCGCATGGCAGATGTTCCAACATAGAACATGTAAAACTTTGGCGGTATAAAATTCCACTTGAAAAAGAAGATCTAGGAATAAATGCCATTAGGAGCTTTCTGCCTGGAAGCACTTCAGTATTTCCTTAGTATTTTCTTCTCCATCAATTTGAACACTGTGTGAAACTCTGGTCACCCAGGAAAGTTGGATAAAATTGCATACATGTATGAGAGGCAGTCAGTTAAGAGGCTTATCCTAGATCCCAAGGAAATGGCTTCTGGTCCTGTAGAGTCAGCTTAGGAGAAGGGGTGGGACTTGTTAAGGGAAATCTCAGAGAATACCTGGCCATGCAACAGCCATTCCCTTTCCCTCTGCAGTTCTTTCACCTACAGTTCTGGCACACTTTCAGTTTTATTATGCTTACTGACTTTGTACTTCTCTGCCAGGTCTTTGGAAATTTCTGCTGTCTGGGAGTGGCTTTCTGAGTATCTTCTCCCTTTATGAAATGGAATTTATGAAAGAGGTTCAGTCTGTCTCCTTGTTGTGTCCCAATCACCCTCTTTGTTGTCTTGTTTTAGAGCATTTTTGCCACTTGCTTGCTTGCCTACTTAGCAAAATGTATGTGCTGCCTGTTTTTCTAGGTGGCTTTCAGTATTTGTTAGCTGAGTATAATGGAATATTTGGAATGTGGAGCCCTAGTAAGAGCCACAGGTCAGGTTAGGGAAAGGTATCCGTTTGACTGGAATTGTATCATATTTAGACCTCAGCTGAAGCTTAGCTGCAGGATGGAAATGACTTTACGGGGCAGAATAAAGACTAAAGAGGCTTGGAAGGAAGGAAGACTGTGAAGCAAGGTAGCTAACCTATAGCCGAATGAATAATAGATTGAGAAACAGGAAACTGAGGCAAACAGAAAGAAACTTCAGAAGCTCTGCAGCAGACTTGTGTTGCTTTGGAATTACATGGACACAGTCACTAATCTCAGTTTATAAACAATCTCTTTCCCTGTTTTGGGGAAACATTATATGACTTTATATTATATTACATTTAAATTATATTATTTACATTATATGTATGTATGTATGTATGTAATAGAGAAGGATTAATGGATAGCACTGCAGGCTGCAAGAATTATAGTGAGACATTAATGCAGATTTCTACATTTGAAATTAGTCAAAAGGAATTATTAGCCTTAACAGCATTTCTGGGCATATAACATTGGAGGCGTTTATCATGTAGGGACGGCTATGGGACTGCCTAACGATGTAACATTTCAGTAGTGATTGGAAAGGCAAAAAGCTTATTTCAGGAGCTTTATCTTAGAGAGGAAGTAGATATATTTTACTGATGCAGCATTAAAAAGGACAGTAGGATATACTGAGGAAGCTTCATGTCTGTGAATATTGTACAGATGTAACAAACAAATGTCTACATTCTCTATAACTCAATATATATTTTTAGAATTTGCTCTTCTTTTACTCGGAAAGCATATAGAGAGGTGTTGTGTTTTGGTGAGTGGGATTGAGCAAGGAATTTCCATTCCCTTGATGGTGCTTTCTGAGACTGGGCATTCCTTATGTATATTCAGGTGTATTTTCATAGCCTGGAGGGCCTGAAAGAGATTAATGCTCCTGCCGCCCTCATAGCCGTTCAGCAGTGAGGTACTAGGCATCTGTTGGCTGATTCACAAGACTTCTGAGACTCTGTAGGCTTTAAGCAAGGGTCAGATTAGGTCTGCAAGCAGTCCACTTGCTTGGGAATTATTTCCTATTTATTTTTCCTGTTTCTAGATCCTTTTGCATTTTTTCTTTCAGTAGATCACTTGTGAAGTATGTTCAAGATCAGAAGTTTCTTGATATCTTGTGGCAGTGGCTGTTGATACTTCCAGCGTTTATAGTCTCATGATCTACTTAGAATATAAACAAGCATAACTGTGGTATGAAATGTTATTAAGTTTAAAAACAGGGAGAGAATAAGATAATAAAATGCCTTTTTAAGTGTTTTAAAAAATTCAGCCATGAAGCATTTCTGTAGTCCCTAATGAAAACATCTGTGTGGTGTAGGGAACCTGAAACTTGCCTTCTCCTGCTGCTGAATCCACTAGTTATTTTCTCTGCTGTCTTAAGTTCTTAATTTTAAAAAGGTACCCTTGAAGTGCTTAGCTCTTTACAGCCCACTTCCTTAATTCCTAGCTATTTTCTTCCAGGTGTTCGTGGTAGCTGTGGTTGAGATTGCTCGGGCTGTGGTCTCCATGACAGTCAGTGCTTCTACTGCTGCTACAGTCACTGACAAGGTGAGATCAGCATTAATTTTAGAGGTAGATGTAGATTTGATCCCTTCTTCCTTCCCACTTGCAGTATTGGCTTTGATACTAATTTATAATCAGATATGATGATACTTTTGTTCTGCTCAAGTATCTGGCATATAGTTTTCAAAGAAAAAGTTGAAAACATCAGTTAGATTACCACCTTGATATTGATTCAGGAGTGGTCAAAATTTAAAAGGTAGACTGGAAGTGGAGGAATCCACCAAATAATAACTAATTATTAGTTATTAGACTGGAAGTGGAGGAATCCACCAAATAATAACTAATTATTATTTGGAGGCAAATAGTAACTAATTTAGAATGAACTGTTAATGCAACTTATGGATATTGGTTCATAAGACAAAAACTTGAAGGGAGGTGTCAAAACATGAAGTGCAGAGCTGAAGTTCATGCTGTTGAGTAATTGAGGCTGGAGGAAAAAGACAACATGGTAATAATTACCTTTATTTTCTCAAATTGTAATGGCCAAATGAACAAAACCTCCTGAGCAATAATTATTAGAAGTTCATTGCTGCCTGAATAATTTGGTAAGACGCCCTTATGTGTTGATATCATATGTGCAAAAAAAAAAAAAAAAAGGTTAATACAGGTAGTCCTTGACTTACAACCATTCATTTAACGACCATTCAAAGTTACAACAGTTCTGAAAAAAGTGACTTACAATCAATCCTTGCACTTAACTGTCACAGTGTCCCCATGGTCATGTGATAAAAATTTGGGCGCATGGCAACTGGCATGTATTTATGATGGTTGCAGTGTCCTGGGGTCATGTGATCGCCATTTGCCATTTTCCAGGGGGCTTCCGACAAGCAAAGTCAATGTGGGAAACCAGACTCACTTAACGACTGCATAATTTGCTTAATGGTCGGGGCAAAAAGGTCATAAAATCGGGCGCAACTCACTTAACGACCACATTGCTTAACAATGGAAGTTCCAGTCCCAAGTGTGGTTGTGGGTCGAGGACTACCTGTATTGCTATATCATAGCCAGGTCCTACCAATAGTTCTTGTATATCATAATGATTATTCAAATAAGCAGAAGTGTGTATAATGTGTTTGTTTATTTAAAAATGGAGAAAAAGTGAGTTGTAATGTAGTCCTAATTACTAAATCTACACATCTTCCCCTCTTTGTTTGGCTTGTTGAACTTGGCTCTCTGTCCTTATTTGTCATTTCTAGATCCTATGGGAAATCACAAGATTTTTCCTTCTGGCCATTGAACTGAGCATGGTGATTCTGGGCCTTGCATTTGGTAAGAGGTCTTTCTTAGTACTTTCAGGCGCTCTTATTTTTTTCCTTTTTCTATAAGTTAAAATATCAGGTGGTCAATAGTAATAAAATGCAAAATTAGGCAGTAACCAATTTACACAAGAAGCAATATTTCAATATAAATATTCTCTGCATTCAAAGAAGAGATGTAAATATTTGTTCAGTAGTAGATAACATACACCCCTATCTTTTATTAAATAAAACAGCTTATTAAATTATTGATTCTGCTCCAATGTATTTCTACTTAGTACATATTTTATTATAAAACCACAATTTTTATTCTTCATTTCTATACCACTATCCCACCTATTCACAACAACACTCTGATGTAGGGTAGACTAAGAGAGAGCAAAAAGGCCAACATCATCCAGTGAATTCATGGTTTGAACCAGGCCAAATTCCTGGTTTGAAATTTGAAACACTGCCCTACTCTGACTGAGAGTAAGGCAAGTGTGGGAGTGGGTATGTTGTCTTGAATTCCCTTTTAAAAAAAAAAAACCCATCTTGTCCTCGCTCCTCCCATCCCCCCAATTGCAGCAGTGTCTCCAAGCATATTGCAAACCTTTTTAAAATTAGTTTTAAGATTCTTCTTTTCACCTGTATTTGAGTATGCATCCAGTCTTAAAACATAATAATAGCAAACATAGGAATCCACTCTGGGATGGCAATATCCAATCAGTAATGGAGGTTACTATGCAGTTCATATGCTGGGTCACAGCTGGAATAAATATAACATTGAATGAAACCATTTTTTAAATAAAGCTGAGGAAGCTCCAAATCCTGGCACTGGGTTTTCAAATTATATAAGATTTGTTCCCAGCGATTAAAATGCTGGCTCCACAATGTATTATTTCTAAGGATGTGCAAAATGTTTCAAATTCAAACCATTTCAGGTTCAAAATGCCTCGCTTGAAACAGAATGAGAACCTGTTTTGAGCTTGAAACACTTGCCAAAAGGGGAAACAGCCTGTTTTGTTCTTAAAGCAGTGGATTCCCCCCCAAAATAGGGCATTTTGAACCTGAAACAGAATATTTTAAGTCCTAAACAGTTCACACTTGAAATGTTTTACACACCCCTATGTGTTTCAGATGCTAATTTCATGCTCCCCAAATGAGCTGGGCTATAACTTTTATCATTCCCAGCTTGGGGCTGCATATGTTGGGGATGATGGGCACTGTAGTTCAGCACATCCTGAAGGTTACCAGAGTGGGGAGGACTATTTCAGAGTGAGGAGTGATGGTTAGATTTATGATGCATATGGCTTGATAAGATCTGTATGCAAGACTAATTTGTACTAGATGTTACCAATCCGGGCGTCTATCTCATCTCATCATGTAATTTTACCTTTAGACAGCAGGATCTAATCCTGTCCCTCCCTTGTGGCTCTCTGTGATTCTGTAGGCAGGTGGAATACAAATAGACTGCTTGTCCCATGGGCTGTTCTCCCGAAGCATTTGAATTACTCTACTTTGACCCTTACCTTCTCATCCTCAGAATGGCTTGAGGAAATATTTACTTGGTTTTGGATAGATAGGGTATATTGTACTTTCTTTGCCCAAACAACCTTTTCTAGCTTAGTGCAGCTGGATGAAGGATGAGTTAAAGAAGAAAAACCTGATGCTGTTTTAAAGTGTGTTGATGTAACAGAGTAATATGCTCAGATGCTAACTTGTACACATTTGCTGCTCAGGTTTGCATCAGGCGGTCTTTGATTTATGACCATTTGTTCTGTGACCGTTTAAGTTACAATAGTGCTGAACGAATGGTGGTTATGATTGGGCCTTGGCGTTCCGGTTGTCCCAGCACCCTTATAGTCATGTGATCGTGATCTGGGTGCTTGGCTTGACTTGTGACTGGTTGCAGCATCCCGAGATTACATGATTGCCATTTGTGACCTTCTCTGCTGGCTTTCACAGAAAATCAGTGGGGAAGCCAGCAGGGAAGGTCGCAAGTTGCTGGGTATGACTGCCCCCACCGACGCACCCTCCCCCTCCCTCTGTGCTTATGATGCGCTGGCCATTCGCACACCCTCCCTGAGCCTTGCTGTGCCTCCCTCGCACCCTCATGCACCCCTCGCGCCCTCCCCACCTGGCAGCAGCCATTTACCTGCCTGCTGGCTTGTTTGTGTGTGACCTGGGACTTGTAACTTCCTGCCGGCTTCCCCACTGACTTGGTTGTGGGAAGCTGGTAGGAAGTTATCTCACTAAACGATTGTGGGATTTGGTTAACAATGGCAACCAGGACTGTAGGGATTGCTGTTGCTAAGTGAGGCGGTTGCGCTTTACGACCGCATCACTTAGCAGTGGAAATTCTGGTCCCAATTGCTGTCGTAAGTCGAGGACTACCTGTATAAGGGAGAGGCCTGATATTTGCAACACCAATATTGCTGGATTTCCTGAGGTGCCACCTGATCTTCAGTAGTGGGCAATCATGCACTTTTAAAAGGTTAAAAAAAAAAAAGGATCCTGTTGCCTCCTTATGTGATCCTTTCTCTCACAACTGCAGTAAGTGTAACATAATTCCTATGAACTTTTTATGATATGAACTATTGGGATGGATTCATTAGGGGTTTTTCAACCATAGTTTGTTTACTAAGCTATAATGTCCTGGTTTCCATACAGTGCCAAGCCAGAATGGGTAGTTATTCTCATTGTGTGAGCCCAGTTGGACGATTGAATGGATTAAAAAAAAAAAAATCTGTAAATGGTCAGGCATGGATACTGGATTCTTGGATCAGAAGCCAAAGGCGCTCTGAGTAGATTGGCGGGACAGGCAAGCACTCTCAGCCATCGAGGGGGTTGACTGCCAATATGATTTTTGTTCAATTAGGCCACCTGGAGAGCAAATCCAGTGTCAAGCGTGTCCTAGGTATCACCACCGTGCTGTCATTGGCCTACTCGGTGACACAGGTAAGCATCGTCAAGGCAGAAGCACCTGTCTGTCTGGGTTACATACTCAAAAGAAGGCAATTCTTTTGGTGCAGAATTCTAGGCAATGGTTTAATCTCAGTAAAATGGGAAGCCTCATAACAAAATATATTTTGTGGTAAGTTGGGAGGTGAAGTCTTCCTGAGTGTTATTTCGAGTTCAGGGATAGCAAGTTCATATGTTCCACTAAGCCATGGTTGGTTTAATCATAGTTTATTGACTAAACCACTATGATATCGTGCAGAGTGATAATCACAAACACTCCTGTTTGTGCAGAGCGCAGCAAAAACTCCAGGAAAATATTAGCCATGAAAGCAAACACATCAACAGTGCAGCTATTCGCATTGCAATGTCCATTTCTTTGTTTCCCAAAGAAATCTAGTTAAAAATATATATACTAACTGGTGTTTATTGATAAAAATGCAAAATTCTACAAAATACAAATATCATACAAAATATAAAGAAAAACACATCTTCTCATTATATTGTAGCATCCAAGACTTATTAGCAACACAAGCTTAACAAAATCTCTAGCTACAAACTCTTAGAGAAGAGGTACACTACTTGGTAATTTGTTACAACTACGTAGCCCATAAAACCTACATAGTGGCTAACACTAAAACAACTAACAACTAACTAACTAACAATTAACAACTACTCTGAGAGGCTGAACATTTTCCTCTCCTTGTATTATAGCTCTATGCCACCCCCACTGGGTACCTAGCATACATATGCCAATAGGTGGCAGTAAATAGCACAATACACAACACACAATAACAGGTGTTTCTCACATGATCTCTGTAGCCAAAATATTATTTGTTATTGTTGTAAAGATAACGGGATGAATCTTTTCCCATGAGAAAGAAAATCCTGACATATGACACACATCATGGTGCACAAATCACACTGGCTGGCTTTGCATGAAACACTAAGTGAGCTGTCATTAGTACAAGGTTTAGCTTGTCTAATGCTGGTAAGAATAAAGGCAACTGACATGCAAACCATAAGATATTGAGAGAGTTGAAGTAGAAGCCACAGTTCTCAGGCCAGAGATGGCAGTTATGTAAACATACAACTGCTTGCCTCCTAGGCCATCATGCACTGTGCCAAGACTCCATTAATTTGTGGGACAGACAGGAGAAAGAAGCAGCGAGTTAAAACCATCATGGCTATCAGGGACATCAGACTCTTCTCACTGCTAGTGGACAACCACCTCTTTCTGCTGGTTTTAACCTATAAAGTTTTTGATGCTAGGTTTCCTGCAGGACTGTATCGGTCCCCTGAGTCGGTCCAACGCTTTGATCATGCCAGGAGAAGCACCTAGTTGTTCGCCATTTGCGGGGGGTGGGGGATGGGCAAAGCCTGGAAGTGTTTTTCCATGACGTGGCTGACTTTCTGGAGTGGCCTCCTGTCTGCCTATCTGCTTCTGGAAAAAGTTTAAAATGGTGCTTTTCTGAAGGAGTTCGGGGTTTGGATGCCAGGTATTGCTTTGGGATGTTTTAACAAAAACAAAGATGTATTTGTGAGATATTTTTGTTTGATCATTGTGCTTTGTTTATTGTGAGCCGCCAAGGGTCTTTTACAATTGTTGTGGGATATACATCTGATAACAAACAAGCAAATAAATAGATTGTTTTGTATGACTTCATTTTACCTGCCATAAAGATTCTTTTCCAGCCTTCTGCCTGGTATAGACTAGGAGCAGATGTAAAGTGTGTAAAATCAGGAAATCTATGACTTACTGTCAAATCCTGGTTAGGGTTATGTTAAATATATAATGTTGCTTATATTGGTTCCATTTCCTTCTACCATAATTATTGTGGCTTTTATATTTCACCATAACAACATGGGAGCAACCTCAGATACATTAATGGAACCTCATTTGTCTTTGTCTCTATGCTTGGAATTAAATCCAAAGGCTAACATTCTTCCAGGTTCAGCAAATATTCAGAAGCTTCCATATTGCAAAACTGGCTGAGAGATGGTGTGATACAAAGAGCTGGCTTTACAGTAAGGCCTCTCCTTCAGCACTTCAGGCTGAAAATAGGGGCATTTTTGTAAATATTCACAGTATGTCCTTTCTCACTGCTCCCCATCAACTTTCAGGGAACTCTGGAAATCCGTTATCCTGATGCCCAGCTCTCAGCAGAAGATTTTAATATTTATAGCCATGGAGGAAGGCACTTCTGGCTTGCCAGCTCTTGTTTCTTCTTTCTGGTAAGAAGGAAAACCGCCCTTTTGATCACCAGAACACTGGCACTTGTCCTGGATAATTAGTATTGCCTTTTTTAAATCTTCTGATTAATATTTTGTAAATACAACAATATAGTCCCAAAGAAAATAAGGCAAGATCTTGAATGTTCTCTTGTCTGCCATTAGCAGCCTCCATATCCAGCCATCTGCTGTTTCTCTTCATGACAGGTATATTCATGTGTGGTGATGCTTCCAAAAACTCCCTTGAAGGATCGTATTTCTCTGCCCTGTAAGTAACTTTTCTGTCTTAGAGCTAGTATAGTTTTCCTAGCTTTGCAGGTATTTCAAACCAATGTTAGGGAGTGTGTGGTTTCCAGAGGCTGGCTGCTGCTATCTTGCAGATCAAACCCACGCATCTTCTCCTTTAAAGGTCCAGGGAAAGTTGCATGCATAGCTGTGACAGCACTGAATCCGCGCTTCCTTGAGATAACTGATAAGAGAAGCATTCTCCAGCCTGGGAGAAGACTGCTGTAGAAGTTGGCAGTAAGTGCAGTCACCCAGCTACTGGGCCTCAGGGCCTTCCAATAAGTTTTTTTTGCACCTGTAAATTCATGTTTGACTAAAAAAGAGAGAGAGAGAGGGAGAAATAAGAAGTATTGCAAAGTACAAGGAGCTGCTGCCAAGCTCCCTTGCATCACCCTTCCTGGAAAAAGCAAATACTGTAGTAATGCGAAATCTGCATTAGAGCACTTAATTTGGAGTTTCTTGATTTCATACGAGGTAACATCTTGGTGAGAAAAACAGCTGTGCAATATGTGCTTTCAAATGACACCACTTTTCCTGCCTTCAATTCTACAGTTTTAAACTGTGGTTCCACATAGCATGAAATATGTAGTTGTTGGTCTTGGCTAACTTTGTTATAAAGTTAACATTCAAGTGCTGTGGAAGAAATGAAATGGATGAGTGCCATTCAGGATGGCCTTTGAGATCATAATAGGAAGAAACAGTAGGAGAATGAGAAAATTCAAGTATGTTAAAATTGCACATAATTAGATGGTCTGGTCATAAATGGAAAGTGCTGTAAAATTGGCATTTTGTGCTCAAGTGCTTTCAGTGCTGGGTTTTCAGAGCTCAGTTTTTTTTTTATTCATCCAGTAAGTTGTTGCCCCAGATGTACATGTTATTGAATGCAAGCCCAGTGTCCTTGTCTCTTGTCTTTTTCCAGCAAGAAAGAGTTTCTATGTCTATGCAGGAATTCTTGCTGTGCTCAATTTAGTGCAAGGGATCGGCAGTGCTCTACTCTGTGCAGGTATCATCGAAGGCTTGTGGTATGTATTCTGAAGTCTGATACAGCCCTAATTTCAACCTGGTCCATCAAATGACTTTTTGGCGGAGACGAACAGTTTCCAGCCAATTTTCATCCAAGATTAGCTCCCTTTCACTACTGACTCCAAAGTTGCTGAAGAACAACTCTTTTGCCATACCCATCATGCCCTCTGGGTTGTCCCCATGGATCCTTTTTCCTGCCATTGTATCTGGGAGCCATCATCTCTCCTGTGGGCTCTTTCCTCCCTTTGATGGGGAGTGAATTCTGTTCCATAAAAGGAGAGTAATCACTGTGGGCTGATTCTTAGGCTGCAAGTCTTTCTCTCTGTTCTCTTATCTTTGTAAAGGGCGGGTGGAGAGAGTCATGACATTTAGGCCCTGTCACTTTGAGCACTGCTTTGTTTAAGTAGGCTGAAGCAAACAGTGAGCCAAAGTTCCCCCCCCCCCTTATTTCACATGCAGGGAGAATGTTCTTTAGGGCCTGCAGTAATTCATCTGATGGCATGCTACTTTTTTGTAGTTGCCATGGCAAATACATTAATTTTCCCTCCTCATCTTGGGAGTGTGTGGAAATCTCCCTGTGGGTTTCCTAGGCCAGCAGCTCCTCCTTCCTTGGTTAATGGAGAGGCTGAGTGACACTGGAGCTAGGAGGGGATGGGCAGTCAATTTGATCTCAACATTTTGTGTGTTTGGCCTTAGGCCAACCTCCCAACCATTTGGCTAGAGCAAGCAAGCAAGGAGAAGGCCAGTTTAGGCCATGGAGGCAGGTCTGCTCCATAGGAGGGAGAAAGAAGAGCAGGAGAGAGTCCAAGGGAACTGGCCAGGGAAGACACTTTTTCCCCCCCCTGTGAAAGAGCTGTTTACTGTTCTTCCTCATGGATTCAGGGCCTGCACTCCCAACCACCTTGGGAGCATTGGCTCACTTCTTCTAAGGAGCCCACTTAGCAGACTCCTCTGTAGGCTAGCCCAGTTAATAAAGCTTACTGCCAAGCAGTAGTAAAGTTAATGCAGCAACTGCTGCTAAGACGTGCAAAGCCCCGAGAGGCCCCATTAAGAGCCATTGTCTGGTTGCCTCAGTCGTAGGGAAGATCCAGACTACCAGGTGCAGCTTATACCTGCCGTAAATGCCCTGCTCTGAATATCCTGTACTGGAGCATGGATTTAACGAAAGAGACAACTTAAACCAGAAGTGAAGCAGGACTAGGTGCTAAATGGAGTGGGAAGGACTTGGACATAGCATTGGTCTTCTACAGAAGTAAGATTGTTAGCATGAATTCACAAACTAAGCTTCTCATGGAAAATAAACCAGAAAAGGAAAAAGCAAAAGGAATCCCACACTTCCTTGCCATGCCTGCGGTCAAAGCACTGAAAAGCATGAACTGTTGAAAAATACTAGTTTTTAAGGAATGTCATCTAGTGGGATCCAGGAAGCAAGCCTCCTCAGTTGCAATTCCTATCCCAGTGTTTCTCATCCTTGACAACTTTAAGATGTGTGGACTTCAACTCCCAGAATTCCATGCTGGCTAGAGAATTCTGGGTGTTGAAGTCCACACATCTTAAAGTGGCCAAGGTTGAGAAACGCTGGCCCATCCTCTGGAACAGCATCTCCCCAGAGATTTGCTCAGCTCCAACTCATCTGTCTTTGAGAAAGCCCTAAAAAGGTGGCTCTTTCCTCAGGTCCAGGGTTGGGTTAGCTGGCAGGTTGGGGGCTGTGGGGAAGATGTCCCTTCCCCCATTTCTTGGTTTCAGGGCAACTGTAGGTTTTTAAAAATATATAATGTTTTTTCTGTTTGTAATTTTGTGAAGCTTCCCTCCCCCCCCCCGAGTCATTTATGGAACGGGCAGCCTGGCAATTGGGTAAATAAAATAAAATGGCTTAGACAACAAAAATATGACTTTCAGTAGCTGAAGGCCCAGTCCCTTTAAGCCTAGGGAAGCTGGATGTGCTTTTACTCACTTTGTGGCACAACAGTAGCATTCATTTGTTCACTAGCAGTTGGGTGCAGATATTCTTACAGCCGGAGAATAATATTGTGATTTGTGTCAAGGATATTTTTTCCACAAGTTTGAAGAACGGATAGAGATTTAGCAATTGCTGTGCTATGGTGTAGCAAAAAAGGAGACCTGATGGCCCTAGGCATTGTTTGAGGAAGCATCCAGTGCAGTCATTGGCCTGTGTTTGGGGCCCCTTTTCCCATGGGCTGTGTAAACAGTGGGTGATAAAAGGCCCAACCCTTTGTGATGAAGCCCTGAAGGTAGGCGCTCTGACCTTGACTGCCTTTGAAGGAAGGAGGTAGGCCTGGGAACAGTCCCCTATGAAAGCATACATTTACTAAGCTCTTTTTTCCTTGGCTTCCCAGCTGTCAAGCAATACAGCCCCTTCCTGAATCCCAGGCCCACAGCATAAATGTTAGCAGGGTAGAAGCAGATGCTAAATGGTTTTCTGTTTCGTCTGTTCACAGCTGCGTGGATGCCACCACCTTCCTCTATTTCAGCTTCTTTGCTCCACTCATCTACGTGGCATTTCTGAAAAGTTTCTTTGGGTGAGTATCTAAACTTTTTCATTTATTTTATTATAGCCCCTTAATCTTGTTTTTGGTTATGTGTCCCCGGAAGTTTAGAGAACAACAGGCAGATAACTCCCTCAATGTAATTAAAATGAAACTTCCAATAAGAACAATGAGAACAGCGATTTAAAACAGCATATAAATCAGTAAGATCTTCCCAAAGTTTAAAATCATGTAAGCAGCACTTCAGCAAAGTCTTTTTTTTTAAGCAGAGTAACCTGAATTGAATCATTAGTTGGATAATTTATCGAACTATTTTGATCTATCCTTTCTTTAAAAAGTTAGAATATTTTAGTTGGGCTATGTAACTTAATATATAATTAATATATTAATTATCATTGAAAAATAAAATATAAGATGAAATGGTGAAAAAATGCAATCAGGTTGCAAGTAGGTTCATTTGTCAGGAAGAGATGTACATAGGTAGTTTTTGGTTTCCCCTCCCCTTTACACCAGTGTTCCTTAACCTTGGCCTTTTTATGCTGGCTGGGGATTTCTGGGAGTTGAAGTCCATGCATCTTAAAATGGCCAAGGTTGAGGAACACCGCTTTATGCATTATTTTGCTCTGTGAAATAGAGATAATAAAGCCATTAAAAAAATTTTTAAGGTGAGGCTTAGCTAAATTGTTGAGCAGAATACTGCAATTCTAATTCCCAGGGTTAGTGGCTTTTGTGGAGTCCTTGGGGTTCTCTGAGCTTGGTTGTTTCCTTGCAAACATTTTGTTACCTGGCTAGGTAACACCTTCAGTGCTAGCTGGATAATGAAATGTTTGCAAGAAAACAACCAAGCTCAGAGAACCCTGATGACTTCACAGTTCAACCCTGAGCTATACATACTCGCTTCTATTGGTTAGTAGCTTCTGTTCTTAAAAGTACCAGGATTTCTTTTTGCCAGTGTTCTAAAAGGGTAACTGTTGAATTTAGACTGCCATCTGGTGGCCACATGGGGGAATTGAGAAATACTTGCAATAATTTGATTTGGTCTTAAACTCTGGTGATTAATTATTCTATCAGTTTTATGTCCAGGCTGATCTGCCAGGTACATGCACAGTTTGCACATTTTGTATAGCCAGATTTTATTTGCTGGAAATGTATCTGTAGTATTGCTTAGCGAAAAGGAAGAATGTTCCTGAATTTAATAAACACATTTCATCAGCTGGAAATCCCTCTTTTGCTCAGCTATTAAAAGTGCAGGAGCTCAGCCTTTTTTCTTGTTTACATAGCTCTTCCTTGTAGAAATACCATAGGGGAAAAGGGCCACAGGTATACAGGTAGTCCCTGGATTAAGAACTCCCAGTTTACAGATGACCCATAGTTAAGAACAGAGCCTATTGTAGCAAATTTTGAGTTAAATACACGATTCAAGTTAAATACACAATGGTTTGAGTTAATTATACAACTCTACTTATACAGTATCATACAATAATTCTGTTCCGGCTTACATACAAATTCGACTTAAGGACAGACTTTGGAAACGGAACTCATTCTTAAACTGGGGACTACCTGTATATCATTTTTTCAGCTGAATGTTGTGGTAATTAACTAAGAATATAAAAAGGTGCCTTCTGGAAGTGTGGCTTTTTTACCACATTATTGCTTGAGGGAACATTTTATTTTATTATTATTTATATAGCTGCCCATCTCATATATATATGACTCTGGGTAGCTTATTCTGGGTGGCTTCAGTTTTAATTAAAATATATATAGCACGATCTCTAAAGCAAGCAAAGCATTAGTCCATTTTGTTACTTGATGAGTGAGATACAAGTATTTTTATGCCTGTTAAAGCTAGATAATATCCAGAGCTTCTTTACTCAGTGCTAGGGATGTAGTTGAGAAAGCACATCAACATTTACCTTAATCCAAATAAAGACATTTTGATTTAGGCATTTGATTCTGTTATAATTATCAATCAATGTTACTACTAAAGTAGTTAATATATAAGAAGATGCCTTTTTACAATGCATTTTATATATGCCTGTTCAAAAGCAAATGCCACTGAATTCATTGGGGACTACACTTAGGTTAGTGGATATAGTATTACAACTTTTGAGGAACATCCAGGTTTGTTTGTTTGCTTTTTTAAAAAATGTTTTAAGTAATATTTATTATATTTTATATGTCTACTGCATTTTACCCAAGAAGTAAAAAAAAACCCTAGTAATAATTTTTATATATTAGTGAAATTTTATTTTTATATATTTTATTACATTGATATATTAGTGAAATTATTTTGGGGTAACGTCATGTGAGACAATGAATATCTGCTGGTGCTTCAATAGCCATGCTGCTTGCTTTGTGTTACCAAACAACATTTACTTACTTACCAGGGCTGGGATGGGATGGGATGGGATGGGATGGGATGGGATGGGATGGGATGGGATAGAAAGATTT